GGGGAAAAAAAAAAAAAAAAGGCCCTAGACAATCACTTCTCAGGGTGACAGAATTCCACACTGGCAGCATCAAGACTTTTTAGTTAAGTTTCCGGTCGGCCAGTGCAGTGCTCTTCCCTCTGTGCCACCCATCGACCTCTCTGACAGAGGAGATGGAAATGGGGAATTTACAAAAGAGCGGATACTCATGTATGAACTCATGACTCCAAGAAATTTAACTTGGATCCTGCTCACCCTCTGGATTTAGCACCCAGACTGTAACTTCACTTAGCAAACATTCACTCAACACCAGCTTTATATCTGTTGGTGAAATATATAAAGACATGTATAAATGAGATTGGTTTTTAGTGTATTTTCAGTGACTATGAAGAATTTGGGGTTTGTGTGTTTGTGATTCTGATGGGCCTAGAACTCTGATCTAAAATGACATGTATTAGAGTTCAGAACAATACCTAGCACATAGTAATTAACTAGTTGAATAAATCGACATGATCTACCTTTTCCATTTTTATATTTTATAGAAAGTCTGAGAGCTGAGGTAGCCAAAGGACATGCTGCTTATTACCAATGGAACAGGGCCTAGAGTCCCAGTGCGATTATTCCTCTCTTGTGTTTCTACCTCCACCCGTTTTGTAGCTTCTCTCAAGTCACTTTAATATAATCCTGCATAGGACAGTGGTTTTTCTGACATGACAGACATGCTCAGACATGACAGAAGTGTCTCACAACACCCATGTAAAATAAAGATATGAAGAGTTGCCCTTTACCAAAAGTAAGAAAACACTTTCACTCGAAGGCAGAATTTGAACCAAAAGTCCTTGTCATTGACAACACAAGTACTAGCTCATCAGTAGTGATAAATTTATCTTACAAAACTCCCAGATTCTGGGGAGTCACAGAGACTGGAGTGATTACGCTTCTTGGTAAAATCAGAAGAGGGCCTTGCCTATCCTTACGGCAGCTATTAACTGTAGCTGATTAACAGCTGCTCTCTTTAAATAGCTACGTATACTCCAGTTTGCCATGATCCCCATGACTCCCTGTGTTTCTTAGACTTTTTACCCCCCTGCTCCTTATAGGCATTCAACTTTGATAGAACATTTTATGTTTAGGAAGGAAGTTTAAGTTCACTGGTCCCTCTTCCCTTTCCAACTAACCCTTTTCCCTTCCCATCTGGTGCTTGAATTCTTGCTGCATTTCTGACATCATCCAGCCTCTGCTTAAATGCTCATGATAGAAAACTCACTGTTTTCCTATGCATATAATGCATTTCTAGACAGTTCTAGCAACCATATCAGACTACCAGTCAGAACAAAATTGTTCTTAATGAAATATGGTTAACTCTAATGATGTGGTGTGCCAAGTAAGATCCTAAGGTCAGGATCTTAAGCAAGATATATTTCCCTGGTGAACACAAGGAAACAACAAATAAAAATCCCGCCTTTATCTGCATGAAAGAAAGAACTAGGTACTTATTCTCTTAGCACATAAATCTGGTTAACTGTGACCTAACAATTAAGTTCACATCATACCTATTTTGTGGCCTGGTCATTGCCTTTATTCCCAATACCAATTCTAATGTTTAATATTATGTGGAATCCAATTACTTGTATTACCTTAGAAATCAATGTGGTTTAGGGGCCCTGTGCCTAAATGTTAAATATGGAGTCTCCCCCCATTTTTTCCCTCAGCCCCTGTGAAGGGTCTTAGGAGAATCTAACCCCTTCATTTTAAAGATGAGCAACTTGTACAAAGGATCACCTAATTTGCCGCATTCTAAAACTAGGGCTGCAGGTTTTTTGAAGCCTAGTCATGTATTCTACTAAACCATATTTATAATATTCCCACTCACAACTGATGAGATAGCTTTCAGAAATGTTCACTGTGTGTGCTCATGGCTTAAATCGTTTCAGGTTGCTTCAGTTGCTGAGAAGACTATGAACAAGTCAGAGAACTTGTTCTTTACCGGTTCCTCATTAGCATCCCAAGTTCATGCTGCTGCTATTAATGGAGATAAAGGCGCTCTACACAGGCTCATCATAGGTAAGCAGTCCTGTAAATACAGACACTTTAAAAATAACTGTTTGTCCTAAGTAAGTTTGTTAATCTTAGTTTTAATTTGCACTGTACTTACATGTCTTAATGGAAATATACTATTATTTACATTTTGTTCCAGGACTGGAACAAGAAATAAAGACCTGAAACTTAAAAATATTGATTAGAATTAGGTTAAAAGTACTTGAGAAATATCCATGTATTTGGCATTGAATCCAGATATGTACGCTAAGGTGCTAAGATAATTCATCTTGGTAATAACAGATCTACAATAAGATAATAAATAATGATCTTTCTTTAATATATACCGAAAGTACTAACATTTACAAATAATTTAAATTATAATGATTTAAAACTGATTCAGTGGTCTCCCTATCATTGATTCGATTGATTGACATTGATTGGCATTGATTCGGTGTCCTACCTAGCATAGGTATAGAGATAGGTCCAACATGGAATTTCTAGAAAGGGAACAAAATGAATAGGAGAGAGACGATATTCAAAGACAAAATGGGTAAGAATTTTTCAAAGTCATAAAACCCACAGATTCACCTGTTCATAAGTCATTAGACCTAAAGAAAATAAAGAAAATAAAAATGTATATTACTTGTGATCATTGTACACACCAGTGTCTGGTGACACCATGATTAACAGCTTGGACTTTTAAAATAAAATCCACACCACTTGAAGTTTCATACCCATTCTTTCAGAATTTATTTTCATCCTACCTTTCCAGTTTTTCCGGGAACTTTTACTCATGCACCCTAACTTCTGGCAAGGCCTTCTATTCCCCAGTATGCCATGAATTTTGTCTTATTTTTCCCTATACATCTGTTTCCCTCTCCTCTTTTCTACCTTCTCCCCGCTTACCTTCATCTTTGCTAAATAAGCTCCTCCTACTTATCTTTAAAGACAAAATTCTTTTACCACATACTGTGAAGATTTCTCTTCTCTATTAGGGATGTTATCACCTGATACCTCAGCCTCACACCTCAGCCTCACCTTCCTACATTCACAGTTGGTCCCTGGAACTTGACATCTTGACTACCTCTGAATCATTCATTCAAACATTCCTCATTCAACTGAAACTTTTACTTCCAGCTCACTTATACTGAAAACAATACTTTTTCAATGTCTCTGAGACTTCCACAATCTATTCTCTTTTCCAGTTTCAACTCTTAGTCTCTTTCTGTCATTACATTCCCCTGTATTCGGCCCTGATTTAATGGTCTATTATTAAAATCCTTTTCTTGGAAAAATGATCTTTTCTCTTCACCTTCCTTTGCACCTGGCTGTTGCAATCCCAGCTCTGGATGGACCTAATCCATGTACCTCTGCCAACCTCTGAACAATTTAACCTGTCTGGGAGATTAGTGGCACCCTAAATTCACAATTATCCACTTCAAGTAGTCACTCAACACTTTCTGCTCATAATACCACATTTCTCCATAATAAGGCTTTCCTACCTTCTCACTCTGCCAAACCTCTGACTGCCAGTTCTCCCTTCCTCCAAGCTTACCTAGTGCTTTATGCTTCCTACAGAAAACGAAGACCTTAAGTAGGAACTCTCTCATCTTTCAGCAAGATATTTACATATCACCCTTCCTCTGCACCCATCTTCTCTCTTTCTGCTAAAAGAGAGCAAATATCCCTTTCTATCAAATGGCAGCTCTTCCACACATGCTCTGTATTCTGTCCCTTCCTGTCTTCTCAGGGACCTTGCTCCATTTTTAAAAACTCACATTACTACATCTTCAACCTTTTCTTCTACTGTAATTCTTCCCATCAACATTTAAACATGTTCTGTTGTCTCCATTATTTAGAAGTCCCTTCCTGGTTCTTCCATTCTCCTCTAGGTATTGCCAGGTCTCTCTACTTACCTTCATAACTGTATCAGTGCACAGACTAAACTGCTATAACAGCGACTTAGGTAAGACACAAGTATAGTTCATTCTCATAATAGTACAAAGATAATCGGGCAGTCTAGGGTGGATAGACATTTCTGCTTCATACAGTCATTCAGGTATGCTGTTAGGGCGTGGCCCTGCCATTCTCAACATGTGGCTTCCACCTCTGGTCAAAGGCAGATACATTGTAGTCATAGCCCAGGCAGCAGGAAAGCAATTTGTCATGCAGGAGGTAGACTGCACTTAGACACAGAGCCACACCTAGGACAGAAGAGGCTGGAAAAATAAAGTCTCTACCTGGATGGTGTCATGCCCCTCTAAAACTCAGGGTGCTCAGTTCATGAAAATAAAAATCAGAGAATGGATATAGATGCAACTATCATGCCCTCTGGAAACCAAACTTCTTGAGCTGCCTGTAACCATTGTCCCCACCGCTTTCTCTCTCTTTATTAAAGGAAAACAAAACATACTTACTTATTTTAAAATATACATGTAGAGCCCGGCCGGGCATGGCTCAGCGGTTGAGCGTTGACCTAGGATCCAGGCGATTGGGGTTCGATTCCTGGTCAGGGCACATGCCCGGGTTGTGGGCTCGGTCCCCAGTCGGGGGCATGCAGGAGGCAGCCTGTCAGTGACTTTCTCATCATTGATGTTTCTGTCTCTCCCTCTCCCTCTCCTTTCCTCTCTCAGAAATCAATAAAGATACATTTTTTTTAAAAAAAGATGTTATCAATTATAAGATGTACCATTTAAAAAAAAAAAAAAAGAAATATACATATAAAGCAGTACTTAAGACTTGCAGGTACAGTTTCACAGGTAAATGTAAAGCAAACATCCATGTGACCACTCAAGAAACAAAACACTGGTCCCCCAGAAGCCCCTAATACATCCTTCCTTCCCCCTTGGAGTAATTTGTTATCTTGACTTTTATGGTAATAATCACATTGTAGTTTTACCACCTAGATATAGGTCTTAAGCACTATGGTTTCATTCTGCTTTTTTTGCTAAACATTCTGTGTTTACTTTTACTGAAAATTGTTTATATACTTCTGTAATTTTTCTGCTCAAAAACTCTTTGCTTCCCACTGTATTTGGAATAAAACTTAAAAGTGAACCGATACCTCTTCCTCTCTCTAACCTCACCTTTCATCACTCTCATACTAGAAGAACTTGCTTTCTTTCCATTTCTCAATCCTGTCAGGCCCTTTTCCATCTCAAGACTTTTGCCTGACATACTGGTCTCCCATTCTCTGTCTGACTAACTCTTAGTCATCTTTCAGATCTCAGCATTCAAGTTGCTCCCTCAGAGAGGCCTGCTCTGACCATCCAATCTCAGTGAGTTTGTTCATTGTGTTCTCTCTTGGAACGCTATAGTTTCCTTTCATAGACCTTGTCTCAGATTGTAACTGTATATTTATATGTATAACTACATCTCTCTTTGTAAGCTAGTAGCCTCCATGAGTATTAACATTGTTTGTTTAATTCATCACTACATCTACAAAGCTTGGCACAGTACTTGGTACATGGTAGGCACAATAGAAATATTTGTTAAAGGAATTAATAAATATTACAATCTTTTTCTTATATATCTTACCTTCTTAGAAGTCTGTAATCATCTTGAAGCTCGGGATTAAATATGCATTGAGTTTAATTGAATTGAACTGAGAGGCAGGTTAGGACTAAATTCCAATGGGAAAAAAAAATAAGAATTCCTAAGAGAAAATATCTTATAAAATGAATTTTTTATTATTTTAATGAAAAGTATAGTTTTGAAAGGAAACAGAACATGTAGTATGTTGCAAATTAAAAATACACAGGCTCAGTTATACAAATTAACTAATGTGTTACATAATAAAACTTGAAATATTTCTTTAATTTATATCCCCAGAGAAAAATCCTTAAAACAAACAAACAAACAAACAAACAAATGATGATGTGAAAGCAGTATAAAGCCGATAGATTTATTTATAAATTGGTTCCCTATGTTTTCTATCATCTTGTCTCATTACTGACTTTGAGCTGTAACACTGCTCATCTTTAAGAATTCTGCCATTATATCTTCTGTGCAAAAATGGTAATGCCTTTGCTCTGTGTTATTTCCTAATGTTTGTATATTCCTACTAAAATAATAACTGTTTCATCTTTAATTTCAATTTACCTTATATATTCTTTTATGTAGCACGTTTCTTTTCTCTAAACTAGTAACATAGTACTACAGATGAATTATGTTTTTCTTTCATCTTTGCTCACCAACTGTTCAGTGAATTCATTCACTTTAGCATTTTCTATTTTCCCTTCTCTGTTTCCATGGAGAAGTATGTCAGTGATGTGTTTGCCTCCATGGAAACAGATGAGCATCTCTTTCTACATACACAGCTAATTAAATCGAACACTTTCTGTGCTGCCCAGTATCCCGGAGGAGGATTGAAGAGGCTTTCCCTGAGTGAGACATCATTTTAGTAGCAATTTTTAGTATTTAACCTAATGCAATGGATCAATGTTTTAACTTAACTCATTACATCCTAGATTCAGATGAATTAGAGCTCTGTCTTGGGCCCTAAAAGCATAAACATACATAGCAAAATCCTTATATGCTATGGTTATCATTTATAGATATGTAGCTTTCTCTCTTAACATCAAACTCAAATAATTTGAATAAATACTAGAGATATACTTGATAATGGAATTTCTTAGATCCATTTTAATACTCTACGATGTAATATAGTACAAAGGACATGAATTCTCAAGTCAGATAAACCTGAGTTTTGAGCTCTGGCTTTGTCATTTATTAGCTGTATTATGTTAGCTAAACCACTTAATGTTTTTGAGCTGAAGTCTCCTTATCTTTAAACTATAGATTATAATAACCTGCTTCTGTGAGAATTAAATGGGATAATAACTGTAAAACATACAGGATGTTTATAGTTAATATTACTCTATTGTATATTTGAAAGTTTCTAAGAGATTGTATCTTAAAAGTTCTCATGACAAGGAAAAAAATTGTAACTGTGTGGTGATGCAACAAAGAATAATACTGTTTTCTCTGTGAAAACCAAACTAAATCATTTGTAAATATGGACA